GAAAATTAGCCTATTTTCAAAAATAGTGGAGTGTTCCTTTAAATGATATTGAAATCTTTCACTCACTGTTCTCTCCTCTCCAACTCGTGCTCTGAGACGCTGAGCTGCTGCCTCAGTGTGGCGATCACCATAACGGCGGTGTCTACCTGTCTGCTGAGCGCCCGCTCTCGCTCCAGCACTTCCTGTTTCTCCTGGGCCAGGTGATGCGAGTGAGCGCGCTCACACAGGATAGCCGTGTCTGTCTGTGCCAGCTCTGAGCTCAGCCGCAGCAGACGTCGCTCCATGTTGCTATTGGCTGTCCTCATCATCCCCTCCAGCCTCTTCTCCACTGACGCCACAGGAGCCGAGAGGGGTCCAGCTCCAGCCGATGCATCCCCAACGCTGAAGCTCCTCACTGGGGGCGTGAGCTTTTGCCCTGGAGTTTGGTCCGTGCCGAATATGTGCTTGTGCTCTCCTCTCGCAGTTGAGGTAGTATTTGTGCCGGCATCACGTACTTTATGCATGTTGGATTTGGAGATTTTGCAGCCGTCCACGCACTCTGTGTCAGAAAGATCCCTGGTGGATAGGAGGCTGATGTCATGTTTAGTGTGGAACGGGTGGCTGTATTCTAGGTGAGCTCTGAGAGAAGAAAGACTGTGGAATCGTTCGTGCTCTCCACATCGCGGGCAGCGGAAAGGAAGTTGAGGAGGGGCTCCGGCTCCACACGCCTGACCGTTCTTCACAAACAGTGCTGTGTTGCGTGTGCACACTTTCTGCTGCATGACACAGATAACCTAACAACAAAAAATATTACATATTTAGCACCCCAGTTCTTAGATATTAAAACACTGTATAGCAGAGATGCCCAAACCAGGGCACATGGGCCAAAGTTGATGACATTTGATTTGCCCCACCATAACACAAGAGGGGGGAAATCAAGGGGAAAACATGTAATTTAAGCATGTCTTCATTTCTTATTTGTAATTTTTTTTTTGCAATGAAATATAGAGAATATAAATTAATTTTACTTTTAAAAATGGAAAATTTTAATATATTAAAGGAAATATTTAAGTTTGGTCCTCAATCAAGTTTGAATTTTTCACAGTAAAAACTATGAGCAACCATAAGTCTATACTAGTAATAAACAAATACATACATCAGGCATAATGATTAATTCGTCTATAATTGTTATTTTTAGTGTTTAGATGCATTTTAGTGCTGATGAAAATGTCTGAGAACTGAGAAGTTAATGCACAATGTTTGCATATAATGCAAATATTTGTTCTGATTTTAGAGTAATATTTTTAAATATTGTATTGTCAATACACATTATTTGCATATAATACAAATATATATTGTGATTTTTGAGTAATATATTAAAAAATTGTCTCGTCAATGCATGTTATTTGCGTATAAACCAAATATTCAAAGTCATTTTGAGTATTTTTATTTATTTATTCATTCTTTTTTAACATTAAAAAAATTATATGTCGTGTGAAACGTGTTCTCAGGCCAGGTAATTTTCATGAATGTCAGGATGGGTGAAGCTGGTCAATGGTTATCTGGTTAGCATAGACTCGTTAGCCTCTGCTGGTAGATGTTGTAACTGCATGAATCTGGATAGAAAAAAAGTATTTAGAACAGTAGCTTTCAATTCATCCGTAAAATATTAAAGGTCACATATTGTA